TCACTATCACAAGAACAGCATGGGGGAAATTGCCCCATGATTCAATTACCTCCACCTGGTCTCTCGTTTGACACGTGGGGATTTTGGGGACTACAATTCAAGATGAGATTTCAGGTGGGGACACAGCCAAACCAGATCAGGTATTAATGCCACAATTGCAGTTGTTTGTTTACTTAGTTGTTTGTTTACAGCTAAGTAAATGATGTTAATATCATCAAAGGCAAGAATCGTCTTTTATCCATTTTTAATCCATTTTATCCATTTTTGTGTACATAGCATAAATATTTGTTAAAGACATGTATATATTCAAAATAAAATCAAAACTATACAGTTGAGTTTCAATCAATCAAAGTAACCACCAGCCAGCTTAAACTAAAAGGAGAATGTATTGTGAGAGTCCAGATGCCTCATGGACTCTTAGAAAAAGATCCATACATTAAGGCTCCAGAGATGGACCCAGGGCAGCTCTAGAGATGTCGGCAAAAGGGAGTTCTGAACCCCTGTTTTTCCTTGAGCATTTCCATTGGTAGTCTTGACATTGCACTCCTCATCTTTATATGTCTCTTCCAAATGTTAAGCCTCTGGGAGAGAGAATCTGATTGCCCCAAACTGAGGCAGATGTCTGCCCCCTTTATCCAATCTGATTGAGGGCAGGGCTATTAGTACCTAGTGTAGACATTATGGCCCATCCAAGGAATCACTGTGAGCTGGGTGGACACCCCAAGAAATGGCCCTTACATGTGGTAAATACTGATGGCTGGCTGACTACAGGCAGCACGGCCTCACTAATGCATGGAAACAGCTCAGAAAGCACAGGGTGGTTTCAGTAATTCTGGTTTCTTCTCCCTGTCTTATTAAGATGACTTTTGTTCAACAGACATTTACATCACAGTACACCTACTCCCTGCCAGGTGCCACACTACAGGCTGAGGATATGAAGTAATAAGATCTCATCCTTGTGCTCAGAGTGGGAGAAAAACCAGCACAAGTAATTGGAACAGAGCATGGCAAGTACAGCAATGAGGACGCACAAGCGGTGTTCCGTGCTCTGGAAAACGAGTCTCACCCTTATCTGTGGGAGAAGTCCATTATCTCTCTCCCAGCAGCTCTTAAAAATAATTATAAAAACACCCACAAACAATTACAGTTCCTGACTGTGTTCTTTTTGAGGCACTGGGGCCTAAGAAACTTAGGCTAATTATATGGAAAGGAAAGTTTCACCCGGCTTGGTGGCTCACACCTGTAATCCCAGCACTTTGGAAGGCCGAGGCAGGCAGATCACTTGAGGCCAGGAGCTCAAGACCAGCCTAGCCCACATGGTGATACTCCAGCTCTACTGAAAATACCAAAATTAGCTGCACATGGTGGCACACGCCTGTAGTCCCAGCTACTCAGGTGGCTGAGGCATGAGAGTCGCTTGAACCTGGGAGGTGGAGGCTGCAGTGAGCCGAGATCACGCTACTGCACTCCAACCTGGGCAAGAGAGAGAGAGACTCCGTCTCACAAAAAAAAAAAAAAAAAAGTTTATTTATAAAGCAAACAGATTTCATTACTTATGAGAATCATGGGATATGAGGGCTCAAAGGTTCTCCAGATATCATTCAGGCCCAACTGCTTGTCTGAAGTATAAATGCCTTCTCTCCTTTGGTTGCCCTTTTCCTACTTTTCTCTTGAAAATTGCAGCTATGTCAGCTCTCCATGGCTTGATGCTCAGGGATGTGACCACTTTATTAAGTGGATTATAAAGGATTATGAACTGTAACTTCTTATAGCAGCTTTCTTCTTTTCAGTGAGAGTAATTGTTGGTTTTCTATTATTGTAAGGTTAAAAAAATTTAATATGGACTTTAAAGACCATTAAAGTCATACTAATTTGTGAAAAAATCATTAAATTGTAAAGGGATAACTTGGCCAATTTGAGCTAACTTGGTTCAGTTCATCATGATCTCTCAATAAGAATTCATGTACAGCCATATTTTTAATGCTGGTAACCTTTGAAAGAGATATGAAAAGTCATCTATTTAATTACTGCCAAGTATACTCTGCACTGTGAGTTCCAGATCTAGAGCAGACGTGGCCTGTTGGCTTTCAGCCCTAAGCTGAGCTTTATTGTGTTGTTCAATGGGAGAAATTGAGTGGGAAACAGAATTATCACTGGGAAAATGTTGTTCTTTACCCACAAGTGACGGATTACTTTTTCTGTATGTGAGCAAACTGCTGAGGAATGGATTGTACTCACTGAAAAACAATAGCCAAGCCATCTCTTAACATAATAGTGTTTGCTCAAGGCACCTGAAATGCAGTCAGAAAAAACAGAGATGTGCTTGATACGCTATGTCACTTTATAGTTGTAGTTTTTCTCTCCCATTTGGTTTGGTTTGGTTCATGCCTAGAGAGTCTAAGAATCCAAGAAGCATAGAGCTTGAAATGGCACCTAGACTTCATGTTTTTATTTATGCTGTGTTTCATTCCACAAAAAATTTAACCAATTTAGGATTCTTATAGTAAAGCTACTTACTTAAGGGATCTAGAAACTTAGACTCTGAGAAGTGATTTCCCCAAAGTGCCTCTGTTAGTGGCTGGGCTAGAACTGAGACTCCTACCTTTCTGTCTCCTTATTGAAGAGAGTTGTCATTACATCCCACCCCAACCCACCCCACCATTCATTCTTTTTTTTTTTCAATAACTGTGTTAAGCACAAACACTTGCCAGGCTCTATGTTACCCCTAGATAGTGTCATAGGGAGTAGGATGGACATGAGTCCTGTCCTTGGAATGCTTCCCATTCAGAGAGAAATTCGAATTTGGAGCAAATGTTCACACAAATCAGTTAGGTAAAATATGAAAGAAACAGACCTATAACAGCAATCATTGTCTAAGGTGCTATGAGCATATTAAGAAGCCTGGAAGGCTTGTTTTAGGAAATGACGTTTATGGTGAGCTATGAAGAAGAAATAGGAGTAAATCAGCCAAAGTATTTGTCAAGCAGAGCAGAAGAGAATAGGGTAAGAGAAGACCCTGAGGCGGGTAGATCTTGGCTCAGCTAAGAAGTGGAAAGAAAGTCTGTGCAGCTGGACTGGGGCATAAGTGAGCAAGGGGAAGAAGCACTAGAGGGGGCCAGAGATGGGGACTGGGACCTCTGAGCTTCCTTATCAACTTTGAGCTTGATCCTAAGTGCATTAAGAAGCCATAAGAAGGGGTTAGAAATATGATCAGTTTTATGTGTTAGAATCATAATAACTTTGCTGGGTGGAGAATGGGTTGGAGAGAGGATGTAACTGAGTTGCTCTTACATGCAGGTGAGAAGTGATGATGGCTTGTAATTAGGAGATCCAAGATATGTGTTGAAGGTAAAATCCATGAGACTTGCTGGTTGGAAGTACAGTTGAGGGAAGAGAATTTTCAAGAATGACCCCTGCTTCCTGGTTGAACAACTGGACAGATGTTGTTGACATTTACTCTGGTGGAGAGAATTGGCTGTGGAACCATATGGTGACTAAGTGGGATAAAAAAGCTCTATTTTATTTGAGATGCTTGTAAGACATCTAGTGGAGATATAAAGTAAGAGTTGGGTACGCAGGTCCTAGTCCTAAGCTCAAAAGATTTGGGCTAAATATGTGAATTTGGAAGACAATGATATATAGAATAGTCTTTAAATTTAAGGGAAGGGAATAATTCCCCTGTTAGAGGTCATTGAACTCACATTGGAGGGGAAGGATGGGTGGGGTATAAATTAAATAAAGGATACAAAACTTAGTCGGGTGTGGTGGTGCATGCCTGTAATCCCAGCTACTCCGGAGGCTGAGGCAGGAGAATCGACTGAACTCAGGAGGCAGGGGCTGCAGTGAGCCGAGATTGTGCCATTGCACTCCAGCCTAGGTGACAGAGTAAGACTCCATCTCAAAAAAAAAAAAAGAAGAAGAAAGGAAGGGAGGGAGGGAGGAAAGGGAAGGAAAAAGAGAAAGAAAGGCGTTTCAAGAAAAGGCAGTGACATGATTAAATCAAGGGAAGAATGGTCACATAATCCAATTGGTGAAAACTAAAGCATACAGTGGGGTTGGATTTTGAATGCCCTCCCAAGTCAGGCAGTAGCTGTTCTATATACATGGGTCATATGGAGAGAAATCTGTGAACAGTCTAAGAACTTTACATATCAGCAGGAAGCGTTTTTTGTGAGCTTCCTTGGTTTATATTGTGAAACATAAAAGCAAACTTCACATAAATCTTGAGATAATTATGTTGGTTGTGCATCATAATGGGTATAATGACTATAAAGGAGAGTCATTATCTCCCACAGACCACTGCCAACCATTTGCTAGTAATGTGGTGGAAATAGGTCCAAATAATCAGAACCAGTATTGTAGGAGTTGTATGCCTGTCACCCTGGTGATGAGGTTTCAGCTGCCATCTACTCTACTCCATCGGGATGAGGAGGAGGAGAATTTACCTAACCACAAAGCATTTTCTGTCTGGAGCTCTGCCCTCCCCATCAATCACTCCTCCTCATACTCCACCTTGCAGGCCTATTGTAGACACCCCATCATCCTTCATTTGCAAAACAAAGTTAGAAGCCAAGTGAGGAGGCTGGGATCCTTTCCAGTTCAAAGAACAAAACGCTCCAGACATTAATGGGGCCTAAAGGTTGCACATGGCCATTTGAAAAATTTATACTCCACAGTGCTGAAAGAGCCAAAGCCTTTCCAAACTTATCCTCTGCAGCACCTGACTTACTAAATGGGATTTGAGTAACTCCTAGCATCATCACTCTTTGTCACTAATAATTGCATCTTAGTATCCCTTGAGCAGTACATCTTTTTTTGTGCGTAGTAACTTTGCATGGTTGGAAGCTATATATATGGAAGCTATATATATTTATATATATATTTATTTATTATGATGCTGTGTGTGCATTTTCAACTGAGAACTTAGGAAGTATTTATAATTTGAGCCAGGAACTTAGCATTTACTGTGTACTGATTCTGCCTATTTTAACATTTCACAGAAACGAGGATGCAGTCAATCAGATGGCCGTTCCTCCCTTTCCAGTGCCATCAAGTTCTCCATCTTCTATTGAGGTAAGATTGTTTCTAATTAGCTCTTAGTATATTAGATGGGTTTGTCATGAGCATTTTCCCCAAATCTGACATTTTTGATATTCATTATTTGGTATTCCAAACTCATGGAAAATTTCCCCGACCAAAATAGAAAGTATTGAGGTATTGATTATAAAGTAGTTTTTTAGTAAATATATTAGAACCTAACCATATAAGTATTACCTTCCTCAGAGTTGCTCAAGGTCTCCTCTAAATATATAATTTTGTTCTAATTGGGCATTTCAGAATTTACAAGAAAATTCTCTTTGTTTATGACTGAATTGTACCCCTTTCTTTATGGTTTTGAAATACTTTAATACCTGTGATCAAGGTGCCTTTAAATAATTACTTTCATCTGTGAATGGAGAAATTACTGGTGTAACAAGATTGCTGTAATATTGGTCAGCTTCCGGAGTAGATAGAGATAGAACGTGTAATCAGTTTGTCTCCCCAGCTGAGGGAATATTCCTTCTCTTCTCATTTTATATTTATTGAATTATTTTTTAACTCCAAGAAGAAATACATACTTATTGTTACTAATTAAATAGTGCAGGGTTATTCAAAGAAATCTTAATTTTTCTTTCACTACCTCCTTAAGGAAGTTAATGTTCACTATTCAGTATCTTTTCATACTTTTTCCTTTGTTTCTACAGTAACCATAAATAGCTATATATAACGTCCCTTTTAATAAAAATGTGATTGTGCAATACACATTATTTTTATTCTTTCAACAAGTGTTCAGGGTTCTGGGCTGGGGTGGACCGTGGGTGGGATGGAGGCGACCTTGGAGCAGCGCTTGGAAGACACAATGAAGACTCCCTCCATTGTTGGAGTCCCGTGCCCAGATTCACAAGGACTCAGTCTGGGTTGCCGTGGGGCCCTGTCAGACGAGCGTGCTGGAGTGATATCTGTTCTAGCCCAGCAAGCAGCTAAGCTAACCTCTGACCCCACTGATATTCCTGTGGTGTGTCCAGCATCAGATAATGGGAACATTATGATCCAGAAGCATGATAGCTTCACAGTGGCGGTACACAAAATGGCCTTTTGATGGCTCGTATCTGTTGTTCAGCAGCCTGTCATAGGAACTCCATCCTACCTATGTGAGTTATCTTGTAGAACTACTAAAGTTCCAGTAGTTAGGCCATTCATTTAATGTGCAACGGGCACTTTTCGATTTACGTAAGAGTAAGTTGCTTTTAACACTATGGACTGACCTATCAAGCTATTAATAAGAAAGGATCGTGTTGTGAAGCAGCCGGTCCAGGTCACTTTGTATATAGAATTTTGCTGTATTCAATAAATCTATTTGGAGGGGGGAAAAAAACACAAAAAACAAGTGTTCAATGAGTGCGTATTAATTGTTAAGCACTCTTTTGGGCATTAGAGGTCTAGGTGTGAATAAAACAGATGAGGCTTCCTACCAATTTGTTATCTTTCTGTCTTCATGATTGAAGACACAAAGATACAAATTAAGAAATAAATAGTGGCCGGGCGCAGTGGCTCACGCCTGTAATCCCAGCAATTTGGGAGGCCGAGGCGGGCGGATCACAAGGTCAGAAGATCGAGACCATGGTGAAACCCCGTCTCTACTAAAAAATAGAAAAAAATTAGTCAGGAGCAGTGGCGGGCGCCTGTAGCCCCAGCTACTCGGGAGGCTGAGGCAGGAGAATGACGTGAACCCGGGAGGCGGAGCTTGCAGTGAGCCGAGATTGCGCCACTGCACTCCAGCCTGGGCGACAGCGCAAGACTCCGTCTCAAGTAAATAAATAAATAAATAAATAAATAAATAAATAAACCAAAAGAATTATCATATGGTAGTCAGTGCCTTGGAGAGAATTAAAGTGGGGAATGTGACCACTTTGCTGACTTACAGAGAAGGCCACTTGTGTAGCCGAAACACAAGTTATCAAGAAGGGAGTCTGGTATAAGGAAGGTGATTTATTCCAAAGCTAGCTTTGGGGAAGGGAGTACAGGCTTCCTGCTTTAAGGGTAACTGCTTCACTTTTGGAGCAGAAAGCTGGCACTTTTAAAAGGCAGAGGAGGGAATGAGCAGGGGCAGGTCCATGTGCTAGCTCCGGTGTCTTATCTACAGGACAGTCGAGCTGGTGACTGCTGATGCCTTCTTATGCAGAACTAGGCCAAAAACTCCCCAGATGGGAGAGAGTTTCATATCTCTCGAGGTAGTCTCCTGGTCGGGGGGTGGGGGCCCATAGAAATCAGCTGTTACTGATCCAGGCAACCTCCTGGTGAGTGAGGGTTCCTTTCTGGATCTCTCCCAAGCACATAGTTAGATAAACTTGCTCTCTAGAGAGCGTCTGGTGAAGGGGAGGTAAAAGGCTATATTTGCATTTCTTTTTTTTTTTTTTTTTTGAGATGGAGTCTCACCCTGTCACCCAGGCGGAGTGCAGTGGCGTGATCTCAGCTCATTGCAACCTCTGCCTCTCGGGTTCAAGTGATTCTCCTGCCTCAGCCTCCGAGTAGCTGGGATTACAGGCGCACACTACCATGCCCGGCTAATTTTTGTGTTTTTAGTAGAGACGGGGTTTCACCATGTTGGCCAGGCTGGTCTCTAACTCCTGACCTCAGATGATCCCCCTGCCTGGGCCTCCCAAAAGTGCTGGGATTACAGGCATGACCCTATGTTTGCATTTCTAAAGGGCTAAGTAGGAAGTAGGAAACTGGGGGAATGAGGAAAAAAGAGAGAGAAAAAAATAATTATCTCTCAGAAAAATGGGAGTACTTAGTTACACTTGGGCAAGGTAAAATTTAAATAAGATAAAAATTAAAAGAAAAAGCCAGACATTCAGAAATAAGAGGGAGGAGCCTTCCCTGCTGAGTGGACAGAAATAGCTCTCAGGTGAGAATGAGCCGGGTCATGTTTGAGGAATATGGCTAGAAGCATATTAGGAGCTGGGAGAGCAGTGGAATATGAGACAAGAGGGAGAGAAAGGCTGTGTAAGAAGTTACACAGCCTTCTACACAGAGTTAGAAGTTTGGGTTTTATTCTATATGCAGAAGAAGGCACTGGAAGGATTTAAACAGGGGAGTGATGTGACCTGATACATAGTTTTAAAGGAACCATTTGGCTATTTAGGGGAAGAAAAATAACTTTTTTTCTTCAACCCTCATAGGTTCTCAGTTGGAATGGACCCTTGTAACAAAAGATAGATTAACAAGAGCAAAACAAACAGCAGTTTAATGACATATGTATTTCTTATATCCATGGCAAACACCCAGGGAATGAGTAGTTCTCAATGAGATAGATTTAAATTCTAGCTTAAATAGCATCTTCAACCAAAAAAAATGGTAAATGTTTAGAGAAGTGACAAGACAAAGGAAGAGGACTTTGTCTCTAGGGGTGGCAACTTGAGGGAAGGCAAACAACTGGCAGATAAAGGCTAGTTGGTATAGCTTGCTCATGTAGATTCCCCTGGTGCCATCTCCAGGGGATACGCATTCTGTTTTGTCTTCAGGGTTTAACCTTTGTTTTCCCTGATTCAGAGGGAGGCAGATATCTTTTGTCTTTACATATCTATGTCCTGCTTTTAGACAAATAGAGGGAGAGCAGAAGGTTTTCCTGCATCTGCTTCTTCCTGATTGCCTTCAGCTAAATGATCCTTCCTTTTTAGACTGGCATATTCTCATCTCCCACAGCTGCTAGGTAGGGAATGGGTTAGTAGGAAGATAAAAGTAATATGCTAAAAGGCAAAAGCCCCTGAGGCCCTAATGTGGCTTGGATGAAGTGTTGGTATCGGAAGCAATGAAAAGAGCACATTCTTGATGTTTTGGAGGTTGAGTCAAACTTGATTAATTAAACAAGGGAGCTGAGGGGAAGTAGAGAATCGTGGATAAACCTAGATTTTTGGCTTGAACAACTGGATAGATAGTGGTACTATTTACTAGAGTCTTTGAAAGAATAGCTGTTCTGAAAATTTAGAAGACTGATTTTATTTTTAAAACAAGCAGGCTAGTATGTAAAATAAAAAGTACAAGCTAGTATGTAAAATAAAGCAGGCTAGTATGTAAAAAATATGTAAAGTATAAATAATGCCCGTCTGAAGTTTCAAGAACATTATCACATATCTTAATCAAATTTGTGTGCCATTATTTGTATTTCATTTTCAAAAATAATGAAATCACATTAGGCATTTAAATGTATAAATAAATAATAAATCCCTTTCTCTAACAGCATATGCCATGCGGGTGATGTTTCTATTGAACCATCACAATTTGATTATATTCTAGAGAGGGCTTTTTAGTTCTGCTCTGGACTATTGGCTGTAGTAACTGCTACCAAATGATGAATGCCACCCCTCCTGTGGGCGGTATGGGAAGAGTACCCATATTCTTTGGTTTCCTGACCTCTTTCTTTCCCTTCCCATTTGCCTATGTGGACCCTCTTAGTATATATCTTTTTCCCTCTTAGATATTTCTCGTGAGTACTAAAGCATAACTCATATCCAGCATATGGCTAAATGAGACAGCCCATTTAAATCATAACCAGATAGATGAAATAGAGCCATATCGTTATTAAATTGGACCTGGTAATAATAATTCAGCATTATTAAGTAGCAGTTTTATTATATGCTAATAGTATCTCATATTTATTTCTTTATTCAGCAAATGTTTATTGAACTATTTTTTTTTAAAAAGACAAGATCTTGTTCTGTAGCCCAGGCTAGAGTTCTGTGGTGCTATCATGGCTCACTGCAGCCTCAAACTCCTGAGCTCAAGCAATCCTCCTGCCTCATCCTCCCAAGTAGCTGGGACTATAGGCACATACCATTATGCTTGGCTAATTTTTAAATTTTTTATAGAGACAGGATCTCGCCATGTTACCCAGGCTGGTCTTGAACTCCTGTCTTCAAGTAGTCCTCCACCTCAGCCTCCCAAAGTGCTGGGATTACAGGTGTGAGCTACTGAGCCTAGCGTCATTGAGCTCTTATTATGTGTCAGTGCTCTAGACCTGAAGGGTATCGCAGAGAACAAAATTGTTTCATGCAGTTCTGTGCTAGTAGACTGAACAAGAGTGCTAATAAAACATTGAGCAAGGAGTCTGACGATGTGGGTTTTGGTTTTGGCTCTACTAATTACCTGTGGGCATATAACCTTGGGAGGCAGTTAACCTCCCAAAGTCTGTCTTTTTCTTTAAAGCCAGGTTAATAGCCTCCCCTGCCTATGTCAAAGGGTAGTTATGAGGGCCAGGTGTAAAAATATTTTATCCCTACAGCTATATATATTTATAAGGGATTATGATGCAGTACTTGTGGTAATTATAATGCCATTGGTGCAATAAGGGATTATGATGCAGTACTTGTGGTAATTATAATACCATTGGTGCAATTCTACAGCATAGCGATGTGAACATAAGCTTGGATGTCAGACAGAGCCAAGTCTTAATCAGTATTCTACCATTTACTAGCAGAGTGAACTTGAGCCAGTTACGCTCTATAAACTTCAATTCCTCACGTTTAAAATGGGTTTGATAATAATAATTAATTCTATGGACTTGTTAGAAGTATTAAGTAATGTTTTTAAAAGGCTTAGCACTATTCCTGGCACACGGTAAGACCTCATTTTTGTTGTGATTGCACTTATATTATCACAGCCCTCTAGTTGAACTCCCAGCCTCCAGCATCTTCCATTTTTAATAGTTACATAAAAAACAGGATTTTTTTCCTTTTAAAAACTAAATTGATACATAAAAATTGTATATATTTATCACATACAACGTGATGGCTTTTTTTGTTTGGTTTTGTTTTGGGGGGGGGGTTAGTTTTTGAGACAGGATCTGGCTCTGTTGCCAGGCTGGAGTGCAGTGGCATGATCTCAACTCACTGCATCCTTGACCTCCCAGGCTCAAACAACCTTCCTGCCTCAGCCTCCTGAACAGCTAGGACTATAGGCACGCACCACCGTGCCTGGCTATTATAAAATTTTTTGCAGAGACAGAATCTCACTATGTTGCCTACGCCCCATCTGCTGGGCTCGAGAGATCCTTCCACCTCAGCCCCTCAAAAGTGCTGGAATTACAGGACTGAGCCACTGCACCTGGCCAACATGATGTTTTGAAATATGTGTATGTTGCAGAATGGCTAAATCGAGATAATTAACATATGTATTTCCTCACATACTTATTTTTGTGGTGAGAACAGTTGAAATCTACTTTCTTAGAGATTTTCAAGAATACAATACATTGTTATTAACTCTGGTCACCCTGTTGTACACTAGATCTCTAGAACTTATTACTCTAACTGAAATTTTGCATCCTCTGACCAACATCTCTTCCACCTCCACCCCATCCACCAGCCCCTGGTCACCACCACTACTCTCTGTTTCTATGAGTTCAACTTTTTAGATTCCACATTTAAATCCCAGAGGATCTGAATTTCATTCTTTGGTTTTAGAACTGTTGAAGGCGTTTTGAACAATGAAACAATTTGATCAAGGCTGTACTCCAGGAAGATTAGTCTAATAGCAATGTTAAAGACGTCTTGAAGAGGGAAACCCA